CACATTGTTAAGAAATAAAAAATATTTGCAATACGGTGCTGGGTGAGCAGCCCTAATCCTTGGTGGAGGTAGCAAGGAGCTGAGATTTGCTCCTCAAGGAGTACGTGCAGTACTCTGCCTGCTTGCCTGCCTGTGGAAGGTGACAAGGACAGTGAGGGTCAGTGGCTTGTCCCTGGGTGAGCTCTCCTGTGCCCGGGGAGCTCCGCAGGCGCGGTGCTGCCTGCATTGATGCCGTGATTCGAGGCGGCTGCGGTGCCAGCGGTGCCGCCCTCCGACAGGGAGCCAGCTCAGCTGGCGGATGTGGTGGCTGACCCCGGACTGCTCCTCCTTGGTGTCACGGCAAAACAAGAGCTGGTGGTTTTTAAGCGAAGCCGCCTTGCACCGAAACTCGTCGGGGAGCTCCCAGTTGCTTTCTCAGCGGTAAGGGATGAGGAGCGATCTCACGCTTTGGGCTGCTCGAGCTGTGCTGCAGGTCCTCGTCTGGCTGCACTCTAGGTCTCCATGGGTTTGCTCCCGAGCTGTTTTTCCAAGGAAGCCTGAAGTGCATTTGTAACTTGTGTTTTTGCTGGTGGGAGGAAGAGAGGAGGAGCAGTTTGCCTTTCTGTTGCAAGACCAGCTCCAGGTTTCCCTTCTGCAGGCCTCATGTCTCTGGGGTCTTCTCCTCAGGGGCTAATTCCTGGGGCTGTGGGAAGGCCATCTGGATGGAGCAGTCAGTGTAGCTGCCTTGTCTGTATGGATGTGCTCAGTGCTGGAGCTGGGAGTGCTGGGTCCAAGCCGCCGCTGGCCGTGGCATAGCATTGTCTGGCGCTGTGTGCTGTGGGTCAGTGCCTGGGGGCGCTTCCAGCGTTGCTCTCGGACCTCCCTTTCTTCCTCCTCGTTGGAGATCAGGCAGCAGGGATGTGGGCAGCTGCAGGCGGGGGAAGGAGAAATGAAGCGCACCAGCAAGTGCACGTGTCCGAAACAGAAAGCGAGAGAGGCAGAACGGCTGCGCCGCTGCAGTTGTTGGCTTAGTGTGTGGGTTATCCCGAGGTCGGGGACAACACAGAAGACTTTGCTGGAGACTTTATGGTATGTAAGGCAGCAGGGTGAAAGCTTTAAAAAAATTTTAAAGGGGGAGGGGGAGGAAAGCTGCCTTTTTTTTTTTTTTCCTTCTGTGGGGCTAGAGAGCTTTTCTGTAATACTGCATTCAAGCTCCTGGCTTTAGGGCAGTTTGATTAGCAAATCTAAATGAGCCTGGTAGACTCAGGTTATTTAGGGTCAGAGGATTTACCAGGAAGTGTATGGAAACAGTGCTCTTGGCACTCCCAAATCAAGTCATAACACAAAAAGACCTTGAGACTGCAGGTGCTTTCCCTGGCTCCCCCTCCCAGCACCCCATGCAGGGTCAGGGTGGATGTGTCCAGCCTTCCTGGCTGGTAGCAAAGAACATTTTTGGCTCCTCAGGGTGGGTCCAAGTATCTCTTCAGCCTGCTGTGTGAAGAAGTGTGTTTTAGTGAGACCTCTTTTGGGTCCTTAGCATTGGATTTATCTAAACACTGGCCTGGTGCTGGCTTGCTCTGCCAATGTGGTTTTTGGCACTGTGGCACTGTTGGTGTCTGTCTGTCCTCAGCAGTGCTGCTAGTGCTGGCCTCCTCCCCCAAATCTGTTGATGTGCCAGAGCCCCTGAATACTCATGGTCTTCCTGCTTTTTTCATTTCCATCTCATGACATTTACTGAATTTTTCAAATCCTGCGAAGCTTCCCAAAGTACATCCATGTGGGAGCATCTGAACCACAAGGAACCATGGGAAGGTTGGGGTAGAAGGAAGAAAGTCCCATCTCAAGGCAGTGGGAGATTTGACAGCCCTGAAGAACATGCTCTGACACATGAGCAGATTTGTGGGGTGGGAGGAGGGTTTGCAGAGGGCAGGAAGAGAGGCAAAGAGAGGGAGAGGAAAAAACAGAATTGAGCAAGACCCAGCAAAACAATGGAGAGGAAAAGGAGCAATATGTAGCTTGGGGTTGCAGAGTTCCTTCGTTTCAGGTGTCTTACAGCTGCCCTTGAGCAGGTGCCAAGGCCGTGCTAGAGATTTGAGGTCAGGATGGGGCTAAATCACATTTGTGTGCTTTGGTGGTAGGGAATTCAGGTGGCACCCACTGGGCGCTGCTCCCGTGTCTATGCCAGTGTGTGGAAGGTATACAGCGGTGCTGGCAGCAAAGTGCCTCCCAGCAGGCATTTTTAAAACTCTGGTAAACAAAATTCTGAATCATCAGATCATCCAGGCTGGAAAATACCTATAGAATCATCAAGTCCAACCGTTACCCCCGCGCTGCCAAGTCCACCAAGCAATTTGAAGGCAGCTCGTGAACCTTTCTGGCACTTGAGTTTGAAAAACACAGTCCCAGCCCACAGTGCAATTTACTGGAGTAACTTTCTGAGCAATTAATCCACCTACGTCCTGCCAGGGCTCCCGTGGTGCCTCCGACAGTTCATCACAGGGCACAGAAATTTGTCAATTTTAATCCTCCCTGCTAATTTTAAGGTGATGTTTTCTCCTTGTAAAACCCAACGTGGATGTGAGCAATGCAGAGCAGGTCAGAGGGAGCTGGGTGATGTCTGGAAAAGCAGGAGCTGGTGCTCACCGGCCTTGCCCTCGATGGGGAAGCCAGAGAGGCACGTCTGCCATGCCAGTCCCGAGCTAACATGCCAGTGTAACGAGCTCCCCATCACTTCAGGCCATGCCAGCAGGCTCTGAGCTCCACCAGCCATTTTCTGATGGGGTTAGGGGAGGAAAAGGCAAAGCTCAGCTGAGTGTGGGCAGGGGGGGAAGGAAAAACAGATGGTTCTTGGGACATGCAATAGCCTTTTTTTTTTTTTTCTTTTTCTCAAGGGCACAGCCTTCGAGCCTCCCAGACGGGTAATTCTTGTTTATACGCCCACAGAAGGTGACGGTCCTGATTTTGGGCCTATTGGTGTGTCTTCCCAGACACGATGTGTTTGTGTTGTAGGTGGATGTCAGGAGCTGCATCACTCTTCCATTTAATTATTTATTTTTAATTTAAAACCAGGACAAGTGTGAATGTGGGGAAGCTTGTTGTAGGCAGGGATTCTGCTTTGGCTGGGGCTGTAAGAGCTGATGGGCTCCTTCACTCCAGGTGTCTGCGTTTGTCCCACCTGTTTTTGGACCGATGGCATGTTCTGTCCTGCAGCCCCCCCATGACCTCCTGCGTGGATGGGCTCTAGAGCTGAAGGAAAAGCAGCTCCACGGGGCAGCATCCTCCCTTAACAACCTGGATTTACAGCAGAAGTGGAAGATCCCTGTGAGGATGAGGAGGCGCTGTCCCACTCATGCATTACGTCACAAGAACCTGTCTGCAGACACCCCTTCTCCCAGAGGCTGAGGTCTGAGATGGCCAGGCTGGAGGGGCCAGCCAGGAGTTGGGGCTGGCAGAGGCCCCTTTTTCCTGGTGATTCCCAAGATTGGTCAGAACAGAAAGGGAGCAGCACCACACTATTTCCTGATGGTGGGGAGAAATGAACTCGATTCCAAAAAGTGGCGCAGCTTTCTAGGCACAAGGAGAAGTGGTGGCCATTGGACACCACAACTCCCCTTCCTCCTCCCTTTGATATTTGGTCTTTTCAGCTTTTGTACAAGACAGGCTGGATGTAGGGTAGGGGATCTGCTTTTCTTGGCTCCCCTGGGCTGAGTGCTTACAATTACAATGTCTGTTTTTCTTCCTGGCTTTCCAGAAAAGCTTCTATGTGAACATGTCATTTTACTCTCTGATGGTGAAAGATGTTGGGCCATCTTGGTGAAAGATAATATTCCCTCCTATTCCACAGCTGGCTGGAGGGGAGCATGGCATGTAGTGCTGGGCTAATCTGTTCATTTCCATCTTGGGAGGTGGGATCTCCAGGCACAGGTTGCTGCTCTTTAAACCCCCCAAATACTTTCTTTGCCTGCCGTGCACCTTGCTGGGGCAATTCCCCAGCTTCCCTAGTGCTGGAGCATGTTGATCATCACTACATCTGATTTCATAATTCCTGTTGCAGCTGTTGGGACTGACACACTCTGCCCACATCACCTGCATGTATGTGGTGTATTATTTATTGTGGTTTTGGGGGTTTTTTTACACTCTGAAATTTATTTTTTCTTTTTGATGGAGTTGGAGCTTTCTTGTTTCAACTGAGAACTGTTCAAAAATAGCCTCCCAGGAGGAACTGGTTCTTCTAACACAAACGTATGTCAATTTTTCCAGGGATATTCTGTGACAGGGCCTTCCATGCCATTGCTGAAGGTCTTAGTTAATTAGATGATTAGTGTGCTGGTCAAGTATCTATCTGCAAATAAAAAATAGCAGTTGAATGTAGCTGCTAAAATACTGTTGCTGGAATCAGTCTGTGGCACAGAGCAGGAGAGCTTCTTATTTAATTAAAATCAGGAACATACTGTACTGTACTCTCCAAGGGTCAAGGAACAAAAGGGACGTACACATAATAAGTAGCAAACTGTCCTTTCAAACCCCTTGAGCTCAGCCCAGGGGAGCTGTGTTTAAAGGCACACTCTCAGGATAACGTTTGTGATTTCTCTTCTGTCATTTCCCCCCCCCCCCTTTTTTTTCTTTCTCCGTGCTGCTGTGTGAATTATTGAAGCTGTGACTTTTAGTTTTGTTTTTACCTGTTCTTCCTCTCAGATTTGCAGTTGTCATCAGGGCTGCCTGGATGCCGGAAACCCTTGTGTGGGTGCTCAGTAGCTGGGCTGGGATTACTGGGGTCCCTTCCCAGGAGCCAGCCTGCCCACAGCAGTGTTGGGCAGGAAGCTGAGTTACCATCCCAACACAGTATGGCTCTGGGAATCACTGGGAACCTTTTTGGAAGGGAAAAGCACTGAGCTTTGTGGCCCAGCACCCGGTGCTTCAAAGGAGGAATGTCTACATGGGTTTTTTTGTGTTGTCAGGGTTCTGTGCGTGCTTGGACGTCCCCACCAGCCTAATGAGCTCTTCTGTGTTTGTTTCTGCAGGACGTTGCGCTGTTGGAGTACCAGCATCATTCCAGGGATTTTGCTTCCCACCTCCCTCCGGGGTCAATCATGCAGCCGCAGCGGCGAAGGCCGTCCCTGCTCTCCGAGTTCCAGCCAGGCAATGAAAGGTATCGGCTCCCCACCTTCCCTGGGAACCCTGGCTGCACCAGCCAGGGTTTTGTGCAGGGCTGTGGTGGGAGCAGGAGGGTTGTGAGGGACGGGGCAGTGGGATGCTGTGTGTGGGTACTGACTGTGCTCAGGTTCTGTGCTGGTTCAGCTTCCTTGTGCTAATGCAAGTGGCACCTTTGCCTTTTGGTTTTTTTCCCTGGGACTGTCATACATTTTAATGAAGTCTTAATAACACAAACAACAAAAAAAACACCACCCTCCTCACTACTGTGAAGCTTCACGTTGCTGTGACCGGTTGCGTTGGCTTCTTCAACCTAGAAAATGAAGCCATGTGGTCAGGTTTGGTCTGTGGCTCCCAAGGCTGCAGGGAGGAGTGAGAAAAGCTCATTTCCACCCCCAGCTCTGCTTCCTCTGCTGCTGCTCTTCCTCCCTGCTTTCATTGTTTTTGTTTTTCTGTCTGCGTTTTCCTCTCAACTTTCTCCAAGCTGCTTTTTTCCTGTCTGTCCCCCCTCACGCCTCTCGCTGTGTCCCTGTTTGTTTTGCTCCCTGTTGTAGCCTCCTGTGGAAGGCTGGCAGCGTTTCTGGGTGCCACTCAGGCAGGCCCTGTGTGTGTGGCTGGGAATGCCCTTACCACAGGAGCTGACTTCTTCTGAAAGAGATCACTCTCACTCTCTGTTTCTACTCAAAATGCTGATCTCTCTTATGGTTTCTCTTCTGCATTTGATGCTTGGTTTTGGGAAAAAAAAAAAGCCTGGAAGTGAAATAAGAGCGTGTGTACAGTAGAATTTTTTTTAATGCTTATTCCTTAGTCAGGCTAAGAACAGGACAAGTGCAGAGTCAGAGATTAATCTGTTTCTCGAAAATCATCGTTGTTAGGAGAGAGGAGGAAGACCTCAGGCTGCTGCATGCACAGTAGATACAGACAGGATCCACTTTTTCCGGTGGGGTGGATTTGGCTTGGTGCTCAAAAACAAACCTATGAGAATTTGGAGGCCAAAAGCAGCCTCCAAAGTAGGTTTTTGTATCTGTCCTCCTGGATGTGCCCTTCTGGATTGTGCCTGTGGCACCTTTGTGTACAGAGGGTCATGTCACTTCTGATAGCCAGTAATTTATTGTAACATGTTGAGCTGCCTTGGCTCACTTTGATTTCTCAGTGCTTTGATTTCTTAGCACAGAGTAACACGGTTAAGTTGGAATTGGGTCAGATTCAGCTAAATTTGGGGAAGATGGGTAAAGAGGAGCCAGCAACATGCTCCTTCTGCCTGTTTTTGTTTTTCACACTACTGATGGTTTGCAAAATGGAGAAGCAGTTCTGCTCTCCAGTAAAATGAAGGTTTTAAGGTCTGAATATGCTGTTTAAAAAAAATTATCTTGGTTATTCCATATAACTAAAAAAACCACCAGCAAGCCTTGGTGTCTGCTGTACCACATGCCTGATCTGGTGTGGTCACCCAGGCATCTCCCTTTGGCCTACAAATATTTCAAAGTTTCCGAGCTTCTTTTTGTGTTGACAATCACATGAATGTGGTAAAAGTTAATTGTGGTTGTCAGAAGCAGATACATATCCACATGCTTATCATGGTACCTCACTTTCAACCTGAATAGTGATGTTCTGTCGTGCTTTAAAAAGAAACTTTTTTTAACAGACTCAACTTACACTTCATCCCTTTTCCCTGTAACATCTGAAATATTGAACTTTTGCAACAATTAGGTAATAAAGCTAAAAATACCACTTCAGTTCAGTTGGCATCTTGTGCTGGGATGCTGGGACACAGACTCATTAACAAAATTTTTTGGGGCATCTGGGGATGCAGCAGGGGAGGTCTTTGAAAAATTTTAAAGAAATTTTCAATCCAGTGTTGTTCATTATTGACGTGATTTGGATTGGGCCCCGTTGGGGTTGGGGAGGTGTTGGTGTGTTTTGCAAAGACAACTGCTGTTCCTCTGCATCTTTAAGCACCACACTCAAAGAGCTGTCCTTAGGGGGCTTTGCTGTTCACTTTGTGGTGTGAGGATCTGCTGTAACACGGTGCCTGCTGTGCTGTAAGTGGAGCCCTTCGGGTGATGGTCACTCACCTGAGGGTTCCAGGGCCAAGGCCCCGGAGCTCCTGGAGCGGCTTGGGTTGGTCACTGGTGCCCTCCCAAAAAATAGCTGTGGCTCTGCCTGGCACAGAGCACAGCCTGGATGAGGGAGGGTGGCAATGGCAGCCATCTCTGCAGCTGAGTCCCCTTGGCAGGCTCAGCACTTTGGCTTTGTTCCTGGGCTGGGACTGATGGTTTCCAGCAGAGGCAGCTGGCTCTCGGTGTGAGGGGCTGGGAGGAGGGAGACCAAGGCAAACAACGTCCACAACACGGCATAGGTGGGCTAAGTAGAGGGAGGCACAGGGGTGTGCTGTGTCTGAAAGGAAGACCCTCACTGTGATTCCTTGCCTGGCAGCCCACCTGGCACACAGTGATGGTGGGTGCCAGACAATCCTCCCCTTGAAGCAAGTGTTGGCGGAGGGGAACCCTTCCAACCCCCTGTTGCTTTGGGAGTCCAGAGGAAGCAGCCTGTCAGCTGTTGGTCGTGGTAGCTGATGCTCTTCCAGGATCACTCCCCTCCTTAAGGAAATCGAGTTGGGACTCTGGTGCAAGTGGGATACGGCAGACTGACAGCACTGGAGATCAAGCTCTGTGCATGTTCCTGGACGGACATCCCTGCCCTACCATCACTGCAGGGATTCACTTTACTCTGTTTTGGGGGATTGTCCCCCAGTTTGGCTTTGCCTTCACTTCGACCAGATCTCTGAAGCTTCTGTAACTGTCTTTGCACGTGGTATTTGAGGCTTGACCCCATGGATGCTTTAAATCCCACAGAAATAATTTGGACTTGCTTAGATGGTCTTCCTGCATGCAGCTTTGCAGGTTTTCGGTCTCACCTGGCTGCAGTTTTGATGTAGCCACCAGGATAGCGATTGGTTGTGATCCAGCGGAAAGGGAACAAGCAGTGAAGCATTTCAGCATGGGTAGAATGTGTTAAGTGTGAATCAGGTGTTGGGGCAAAAGGCTGTTGAGTGATAACGTGCAGGAAGGAATCGGATGCTGAGATACTCCTGCATTTTGGGGCTTCCTGAGCAAGAAGCTCATTGGGAAGTTACAGACTGCCCTTTCTCCATGTACGTCAGAATTGAGAGTCGTCATCACTCCGTGGTGGTTGGGCAAAGATTTGAACTCCCTGTGCAGCAATTCTGGTTTGGAAGAAGAAAGGAAAACCTGAACTAGTCTGAATCTGTTGCTATAGGGAAAGTTGGCTCTGTCTGTCCTTGCAGGGATGTGCTGCTTTCCATGATGGTTTTTTTCGTAGCAGGCTTTTTCTTGGAAGGATCCACAGACTTCCCCTTAGCTTGTTCGGCTGGCTGTGCCAACTGGACTGCAGGAGCGAGGAGAAGTATTTCAGGATCTGCTGTTGGTACAAGTCGTACCATGAATGCTTGCAGCGGAATGCCCTGGCAAGGTGACAAGGATTAGGGCTTTTTTTCCTCTTCTATGTATATTTTGGTCCTCAAAAGGAGTGAGGAAAAACTGGGTTGAGTGTTAAATGGCAGGTGCCAGTTGGGTGAGGGGTCTGAAAAATCAAGGAACTGGGTTTTTCTGATTTTTCATGTCTTAGGATTTTAGAGCAAGGTTCCGTATTAACACAGGAATGCTGGGGTGCATAATGGCTTCTCTGGCAGAAAACATGGCTGTAGACAAGTGGTATGTATGTTAACACAGTGTATTCCACCCTTATCCAGAATGAGATGAGTCACTGTTTTATAGAAGATTATTTTCCCAGTTCAGGGGATCTTCTTTTGGAGCTGTTCTGCTTAGCAGGCATGAGGAGTTTGAAGAGTTTACCCGGTGCTGATCTGTGGGATGACATTTCGGATACATTAAGCAGCTGCTGTGTTTCTGCAGCCATCTGAGATAGCCATGTGCAGTATGGCATGAGAGCAGGCCAGATCACTGTGCCTCTTGAATGGGATTAATCCTGAGGAGCCCAGGGAGCAGTGGGAAACCAGGACAGCGTGTGGGGCTCTGAAAAATCATGTGCAGCTCTTGGTCTTCATCTGTGCTGGGCCAAATGGCACCAACTGCTCCCGAGATAACAACACAACAAATTTGATTTTATTTATTGTCTTTACCTTTCCAAAGGTGACCCCTTTCTCAGGAGCAAGCTGGAATCCCCACAGCCATTCATCTGCATGTCTTTTAACACTGGAAATGGTGTTCCAGGAGTTGTGTATTTTTCTTCCTCATAACTGAACATGGGAAAATAACATCTGGAGAGGGCAGATGCTAGTGTGTAGGCACTTGGTGACAAGCCTTGTCTTGCAAGTACCCCCTGCTCCTGTGTGGGCTGTGGGCATGTCCATGGATGGCTCCAGAGGGTTGATGCAGAGACACCAGGCTTCTTGGAATGGGCCAGTGTGCCCTGGCAGGGAGATATGAGAGGAAACCTTGGCTTTGCCTTGGCTGGGATGAGGGGTAAAAATCCACAAAGCACCTTTCTTGTGTGTGGTCTTGAACCAGATTTATTTTGGGGAAGGAAAGGGGATCTCGCAGTGTATGCAGCAGGCCTTGTGAAATTTTGGGATATCCCTGAAGCCATTCGTTCGGGAGTGCTCCAGCCACCCAGGACTGCTAAAAGGGCTTTCCTGATGGGCCCCAGTTCTAAATGCCTGGAGAAAGCATGTGGGGGAGCTTTTGGAAAGAGACAAATATTCCTTCTCTTCCTCTTGAGCAAGGCAGTGCCATTGTGGTGCTTCTGCTGGTCCTGTCCATGAATAATTCAGGCTCTTTGTATGGGGATCTTCAATATGCAAGTTTTAAATAAAGCATCTGCTCTCATTGCAGTTGGCTTGGAAGAAGGTGGATGAGGGGTTGTGCAGGGCAGCGGAGACACCACTACCTGCCCTTGTGTGGGAAAGTGCAGCCAGAGCATCCCGAGGATGCACGTGGGCACTTGGCCAGACCTCACGAGGACCTAGGAGTCCCTGAGTTGAGCCATGTGGTGAGATAAATATCCTGATCGAGGCTGTCCCACACCTATGGCTTGAAAAGACTCAGTCCTGCTGCTGGCAGACATTGCTGAGGGCATGGGAGCTCCATGTTCCCCGCCCAGACATGCAGCTCTTCCCATCAAGTCATTATGGTTTTTCTCCCTTTCTACCTATCTGACAAGGGGAAATATATCAGCTGGCCCTGGACATGTTTTTCTAGGTGCCTGGTGGCAGGTTTGCTCCTACAAAACCTCCAGTTTCTCTCTCTTTAACAGGTCCTAATTTGCCTACTCTCCCACTCTGGCTCTCATTATCTGTGCAGGGGTTGTTGAAACCTCTGACAAATCTTGGCGTTGGTGTAGTGGACTGATGACAAGATGGAGTCGGATTGCAAGATGGAGTCTGCTTTGCCATTGTCTTGAGAGTGGAGTTAAAAAGCCTTGATGCCACAGCCGGGCTGCTGCAGGAGCCGAGCTGCTTGCAAAAGCTCCGGGAGGCACCCAGCAGGGGCGGGCAGAGGAGCAAAAAAGATGAAAAGTTGTTACAATCAAAACATGTGGGAAGGACTTACTCTCCCAGATCAGGTGTGCCTTGCTTGGAGACTGGGGAACCGGCCCGTGGATGCTCAGGGCCCATCGTGGTACCAGGTGATGATTGCTGGGTACTGGCGAACTGGCCATGGGGCATCCAGGGGCTACCACGGCCAGGGTATTCAGGGCCCTGCCCGGGGACTGTGGGGGCTGTTGGAGCACTGCTGTGGGAGTTGCTGCCACTCTGCTCCCCTGCCGCTTTGGCTCCCTCCTTGGAGGATACAAGGTGACCAGGGAACAAGCCCAGCAGAGACCTACTACCAGCTTGCAAGCCAGCAGCGCTTCATGGTGGTGGTAACTCCTGTCCTGTGCTTTTAACAGTTACCCTTAGCTTTTCCCACTTTTCCATCTTCTTTATTTCTCTCTGCTCTTTTGTGTTGCAAAATAAGAGTTGAATTATCATTTGGGGATCCAGCATCTGGCCTTGTTTGTGCCTTAATCTCGCTTATGGGAATGGTTTTAGAACCTGGTTCCCCTCTGCATCTAAGAGGATTGGAACAGTTGGCTATAAATAATTCACTTCAACACCAGTGGTTTTCTGTATTACTCTCTCTCAAAAGCATTTTATTGTCTGTCTGTACCTGTGGGGGTTGGATACTCTTTTTAGAATTCATTTTTGGAGACAATTTCCCACCAAACCATCTCAGCCAGGGGAAATAAACAGCTTCAGCAAGGCCATCGCTTGTCTTGGTTCCAATTCCAAAAGACAGAGAGAGTGAGTCTTCCAGCCTGGTTATGTTGTTTGGCCCTGTGGTACCCTGGGAACAGTATTTGCAGATGGGAGCAATTCTTATTGTGCCCTTGCTGGGAAGTTGGTGGGAGCTGGCTCAAAGTCACTGCTGTTGTTTTGAGCCTTCAGTGCAGGAGGCATGGCTGTGGGAAGTCAAGCTGGATTTTCTGGATGTTGCAGAACAGCCATCATTCCTCCTGCAGCCACCTTCTGCTGTTCAGCCGATGGAGAAACAGGAAGGCTTGAAGAGCAGGGGAGGGTTGTGCTGCTCTGAAAAGCTGGTCAGTGGGTTAGTGTGGTGGGAGAGTCTTCTTTCGCCTCCTGAAAAGTCTGTACTTGCCCATTTCCCAGTGATTTGGCTTCAGGAAAGTAAAGTTGAAATCCATTTAGATGTCATCAGGCCTGCTCTTAGAAGTCCCAGGGGCAGCTCAGGATGCCTCGTTTGATTCTCTCTCCACAGAGAGATGCTCTCAGCTTAATGGTTGCACTTGATGATTTTAGAGGTCTTTTCCAACCTGAAGGATTCTATGATTCCTTGATAGCCAGCTAGGAGACAGTCTCTGTTTTCAGCCCATCTCATGCTCAGCTGGTTCTGGTGTAGGTATAACGTAGAAGATGTTTTCCTAGGTCCCAGTGACCCAGATGTGCTGGAGCAAGCTGCAGGTGCCCTACATTGCTGTAGGATTTGATCCGCTCGTACCTTCCTTACATCCCGTATGAGTCTGCTGAGGAATCGGCCGGTGAATGAGTAACACGGCTGCAGCTGGGAGGGCGAGATTTATTTATCAGATTGGTAATGAACCAAAGGTCTAATCTTGGGTTATCTTGTTCTTCTGGGCTCGGACCTGCCCCGAGAGAAGCTCTGTGTGGGTGGCTGGAAGTCGGGCAAACCCTGGGCACCCAGCTTTGTGTGTCAGCAGATCTTCTTCCCTGAAGTAGTTCACTGTTCATGGCGAAGGGCTCAGGTGAAGACTAACCTGCCCCACTTCGTAATTAATGCTGGCATTTGCTTTACTTCATTTAATCATGCATAACTCGCATGCAATTAAAAATGCTTTTTCCCTTCAGCAAATTAGGAATCTCTGGAATAAGCCAGCCAGGTGGGAACTATTTGGAAAATGCAGCAGACGCCGAACTCGGTGTAATGGGAGGGTTTTTCAGGCAGGGTTATTTTTGCGCTGACGGCAACGTCATCACTGTATAAAAGTCTGTTGTGAAGAGCTCGCTGCAGGTGTGGATGTGAAGAGTGAAAGGTGTGAAGGCTTCGAGCAAGAGCAGTTGTGTTTGCAGCTAAGACAGGCTGAGTGGGTTGTGTCGGGCAAAGCAATCTCGGGAGCGGCTGGAAATTCCAGTGGATAAAGTTAATAGCAGTTCCAATGGATGTGGAAATGGAAATAAAATAGCACCCTATAACATTGCAGCTGCTTTCCCTGGCGTGGCCTCTGCCTTGCTGTGAGTAACTGCCTTTGTAAGGCTGAGTGGTGCTCTTATCTTCAAAATCCATGTTTTTTTTCTGAGCGTAGCAGTTGTGTCAGGTTCCTGACAACTGCAGTGGTCTCGGAGAGGTCCTGTGTCAATTAGCAGCTTCTTGGTAATAGGACCTTAAAAAAAAGAGGGAAGGAGTGAAAATAAATCCCATTTTTAATTGCCTCAGTACAGCAGAGCCTTGGGTGTTAGAATATTTTAGCACCTGCCCAGCTCAACAGTTGCTTATTGTTCCTGGGTTTTGCGGCAGAGCCTGAAATGCCGGCGCGCAGCTGCGGGCGGGCAGGGATCACACGAGGGGTTGGGACCAGCCAGCAGGAAACCTGAGAGATGCCAGGAGAGATTTCTGGGCTCGCTGAGAAAAGCTGAGGATCATTCAGCGTGAAAGTGTTTGCAGGTGAAACGAGCTGTGCTTCAGTGCCAGATTTCAGGCTGTTCAGCTCTGAAAAGTTTGTTGTGTGAGCTGTGCGTTCGCAGTCTCGTGGGCTGGAGCACCAAAGGCAGTGCTTGGAGCCTCCCAGCTCTCCCAGCCCCTTTTTGCTGGGGAGGAGGAAGAGGATGAGCCAGATTCTGTTTCAGTGTGTCAGCAGCAAAGCTGCTGCCCAATGCCAGTGCCAAACCCTCAGCAGCAGAGCTTGGCGAGCACATGCTTTGTGCCTGCTGTTGATGTTTAAATTAAAAAATACCTCCCCTCCCACCCTCCCCAACTTTAACACGATAACCTGGAGCTGGGTTGAGTTGGCCACACTGCTGTAGGGGAGGGCAGAGGTCTGTGCTCAGGGTGATGTCCCTGAGAAGGTGGATTTCTCCAGGCTTCCTCCTCTCCCTGGATGTGATCCAGAGCCGTTATAGCCACTGGCTTCAGAGGGCTCTGGGTCCTTCCCTTTTTGCCAGGAGTTCCCTTTAATGTCAGGAGTTGCAGTTTGTGGATGGGAGCCAAACAATGTATGAGAACCCCTGTTTTTATTCTTGGTCTTGACAAAAGCACATCCCCTTTCCCCCTCCCCTTTGAGCAGCTCCAAAGGCTGTTTAGTTTGTTGGTATTTGATAACTGAGGAGGACACTTCACCACTAGCTCAGGAGAACTTCAACAATCTTGTTTAAGGGGAAAAGAAAAAAAATCCATGTTTTTTTCACAAGCTTTGAATCCCCTGTGCTTTGTTTTATTTTTATTTTTTTAAGAGACATTTCTGCCTGAAGTGTTAAAAACGCACCCTTGGAGCTGCTGCAGCAAAGCTGATCCTGCGGCATAGTAAAAAGTTTAATGTATTTTTGTAGGATCCCTTTACAATTCCCACAAGAGAATCCTGCTAGGGAAAACAGAGCTACAAAGAAAGTTTTACATTTGTTTAAAAAAAGCAAGACCAAGCCCACTCTGCAGGTATTACCAACTGCATCATATTTAATGGGTGAAAGATACTTGAGCCCGATGTGACTCGTCAGTGCCGTTGCTATCACTGGATAATGTGCCTTTGCAGCCTGCCAGGTCTGTGTCAGAGACGTGCAACTACATGTGGCTGGTTTCTTTCCTCCCCCACCCTGGAAAAATAAATCCCCACTGTCTAGCCACGGAGGAGTAGGCATTTTTTCTCCAACATATAATCTTTGGTATTCCTATGGAAGATGCTAAAAATAAACAGTGGTGCAGGTACCTTTGACTAAATAAGCCAAATGTGGCAGAAGGGAGTTCTGCTTCGTTTTAGAGGCGCAGGGGGACTTATGGGCCAGATTTGGGGATTTTCCAAGCTTTGGCTCTTTCTGGACAGCCTGACACATGTGGCATGACAGGGAAGGCTCAAACCTGCAGTGCCTTGTTCACTTTGCCCTGGTGTAGGGACAGCGACCACAGGAGAGGGCCATGAGGCCTTCCAGGTGACATGGTGGCCATGCTGAGGATGGGGACAGCAGGGTGGCCTGTTGGGCTTGGGGGCTGACAGTGATCCTTCTGCAGGAGATGCACCGTGCCCAGTAGCTGAGCTATGGGGCTGTGCCTGAGATGTCTCAGTCCAGGCCCATCTGGCCTCCCCTCATGGATCCTTTTGGAAAACGGGCAGATGTTGAGCCGTGTCTTCTTAGAGTGGTTTGTGACCGTGGAGCAGGGGAGAGTGGAGGTGGTTTGCTTTCTAAGGCCTCCTTTCCCTTTGTTCACAGATCTCAGGAGCTGCACCTGAGAACTGAGGCGCATTCCTATCTCTCTGACCTGACCAAGCCATCGGACTTGGAGTTCATTGAAACCAAGAGGCCACGCCTGGAGCTGCTGCAGGACCCTCTGATGCGGCACTCGCCTCTCCTGAACCAGAGCCAGCAGGGAGGGACAGAAGATCTCTCAAAGGTAAGGGGCCAAGGGCCTGGGCTGCCAGTTGGGTGTGGGGTCTGGGTTTTGGGATCCCCTTGGCTTGTGTAGAACTGCCTTTGAGGCTTTGAGCCGCTGCTGAATTCAGTGTAGGCGGTGGTTCCCGACGCACTGAACAGTGCTTGGTGGTGCTGGATAATATTCCCTGAGATGGGGTGACTACTTTGGGAAAACAGAAGCGTATCAGCTTTCCTCATAACTGTTACAGTCATAGGCTTTTTTTTACTAGGCTATTAGATGCACCAGAACAATTTGGAAGCTCCTGTAGGCTGAATTAAGGATGGCCATGTCTGGCTTTTCTGGATACTCTGCCTTGATTTGATTTTCACTTGACGTTTCTCATTTATCACATCTCTTTATTTAATATCAGTGTTTGAAGGGCTGGAATAGGTTTCTGGTGGTTCTTTAATATAATCTTCCCCGGGAAAGCCTCCCTAGTCCCAGTCTCATTTAACAAAGCAAATCGTTTACTTACAATTGTCCCCTCTGCACATGGAATAAATGTTGCAAAGAGAAATCCCTTGCTTGTTTGCCTGTTTGGATTTAGTTTCATGCTCTGCTGGGGTAAATTGTATTTGATTTTACCTCGAGTTTGGACATGCTCCTGGTTTGGCAGGAAAGTTGTGCTGGATAAATGTGTTGGGGGCAGCTCTCTTGATGCCAGTGCCCAGGGTTAGTGCAGCTGCAGGCTGGGCTTGGGAATTGCCTGAGCCTGCAGTGAAATGAGTGGGAAGTTGCATCCGTACCCAGGGTGATGGGGATGGTTCGCTGTATCCCTGTGGGAGCTGACTGAAATAACATACGGGCAAGAAAGCTCTTCCTTGGGAATGCCAGGATATGTGGACATCTCTTACCCATAAGGTACTGGTGGGCTTTACCTGAGATCCCTCTGAGCTGTCTTTAATGAGAAGGATATTTAACTTTGGAGTAGTTCAGATGCCAAGGGAGGCCTGAAGGCTCTGAAGAGTAGAGTGCCCTCGGGGGATGTTGGTTAAGTGGCTGATGGGAAAATACACTGTTGTCCCCAAAGCAAAAAATGCCCCTCTCCAAAGATATGAGGAAACCAGGGTGACTCTTCTGTCTGCACATTATTCTCACCAGCAGTTCTGTTTTACCTCTCACCAGAAAACCACAGATCATCTCAGCTATTTGTTTCTAACAGGCAAAGCTGCTTTTGAGTCATTAGTTGGTGAGTTTAGGGGCTGCATTTGCTTCTAGGTCTGACACGTTTCCAAGAATTACATGCATTTTATGGGGCTTAAAACATTTGTTAATGAAAGAGGGGGAGAGAGAGAGAGAGAGAGTGCGAGAGCTGAAATACAATTCAGCAAGACAAGATTATACTTTTAGTGGAGCCATTTGTAATTTTAGAGTCTGAAAGGAAGAAGACAGTGTGGTGTCTGTGACTGGTGAGGGCCTGACTGGAACTGGGATTAGTTGCTCTAAACTAGCAGGAGCTGTTTTCAGAATGGGTTTGATGGAGTTCACTGTGAGACTGGATGATCTCTGTGCTGTTCCAGTGGTTGGGAGCAGAAGGCACATCTGGGGCACACGGTATATCTGCCTTTGCCGCTTGGGAAATTGGGCTAATAGCAGTCTTTTGGCATTAGTCCTGAGCAGTTGTCCTCAGACTAGCCTATAAAGTGCTGGTGGACATAAAGGTCATGGACAAGCTCTTGCAGCTGATGTGTGCATCGCTGTGAGGCTCTGGGTGTGCTGGTCCAGGGGAAATGCAAAGAGCCGAGACTGGTCTTTGGCCACAGCTCTGGGCACTTGCAGATCTGGGCTGTTGACACAGGTAGAACCAATTCTCACATCAGTGACATCAGTGACAGTGTAACTCACCACCTGGGACAGATGAAAAAGACCTCCCCCAGAGGCTCTGTGCTGAGTGAGATGTGTCCTGCAGTGGTGGCACACGTGTGTTGGCAGGATGTGTGTCCCAGAGCAGTGGCAAAAACACGGTGGTAGGATGTGTGTCCCAGTGACCAGAGGTGGAGAGAGATGTTTGCTGTGCTGACTCAGTGCCTGATAAAGTCACTCAATACTTTATCTAGGGCAGCTTTGCCAAGCGGGTGAGCTCTTTGGGTGAAACGTACCATGTGAGCCCAGTATTGCTACACACACTGCTGGTTGTTTAGATGGAGTATCCTAGGAGTTGTTCCCGTACTCCTTACCCCATTCCATGCTGTTGCAGTCACTGCCTGGGGAGGAGCTCAGTTTACTCATTGGAGTAACAGTGCTAGGACTATTTTTCATGGTGATTTTACAGATTGAGCTAATTTTTGCACAGTAAGAGCTCCACAAAGCCCTCAATAAAAAGGATAGGGGTTTGGTTACACGCTTTGGGCGCCAGCCTGACTGTCCCAGGGGATGTAACTGTAATGGATGTTGCTCCCAGGCAGTGGATATGTCTTGTCTCTGCTGGCTTCAGAGCAGTGGTGGGGCTGAGATGCAGAATCGAGTCTGTGGTGGGGTATGAGTTTAGCACATCCCTGATAACCATTGATAACTAGATTTACCAGCCTTCAGCCCAGGGTAGAGAAGTCGACATTATTCCTGCACATTTCCAAGGCCTTTGGGACATAATCTGTGCTCCAAACACAGATAGAGTAATAGATGGGGTAAATGCTGGTAGCAGGTTCCAGAGCTCTTTCCCCAAAGAGAAGTGGATCTCTCATGTCTTTTACTCCTCATCTACCTCTCCGAAATATGAGGTGAGCTGCACCCCTTCACCCTGCTCAGGATCATTGCAGCCTCACTCCAAGCAAGGCTTAGTCTGTAAGGAGAAGGTAATGTCTTCTCTTGGATCAGCACATTCTAGCTGGAGAAAGCAGACGTGCTTTTGGGCAGCATGCCTTTCAAAAGCAGCAGCTTTCAGCTGAATCTCAGTCCAGTAAAAGAATATTACCTTTCCTTACGAACCTCGCATTGCTCGTATCCTCAAACACTGGTCTTTCTGTTCAAGCCAGGGAGCATCCTTTTTCCCAGCAAGAGGGACTGCTGTCATGTTGCTGCAGCACTGTGGTCCTGGGATCCTGCTGCTGGATGTGGCCAGGAGGGCTCTGGTGAGCTCAGTCAGCTGGGGAGAAATGAAATCTCCCCATGCCCTTTGTGCCAGCCAGGGCTGACGCTGCCCCTGGGAAGGTGCTCCCTTGAGCTGGCTGACAATAACCAGACGCAGTTAAAGCAGGGCTGTTTTTTCAATCACTGCAAGCCTGGATGTGGGAATCATTGGAAAAGCTGCCGTTGATGTGGCCTTGCCAGGTGTGTTCTTGGCAGAGATGTGGGAGCTTGTTCCCAGGACCCTTGGTGGCTTCTGCTTTCTTTCTTTCCGATAAAAGTCACGGACCTCCATCACGTAGCAGCAGCCGGGAGTAAAGCAGGCAGCCCCAGAGCAGGCCAGTGATGCTGTGCACGATCCCTGTCCCTGCGCATACGTGCGCAGCTGGTGCTGCCAGCGATCCTTCCCCGCGGGGATGGCGAGCGTGGCACGTCTGGTCGATCAGCGCCTGCTCTCCCCTCTCCAGAGCTGGAGCTTCGTCCTGCCTCTCTTACTCCTGCTGTGCTTCCACTTATTCTTCTCTCCATTTTTAAGGACTGCTCTTCCACCACATATGTGGTTTGCTGCTCCTTCCTATAGGATGTGAGTCAGTCGTGATCTGCATGTAGTCCCCTTGCAAGGGCTGGCTGGCTGCACTTACACGTAGCCTATTGCTCCGACAGGAATTCACTTACAGGGAGCCATGTAATCCCATGGGTACAGGGCTGGGTGGAGGCTTAGGAAACCTGAACCTTGCTGCCATCTGCCCTGGCAGGCTGCTGGTCACCGGGTAAGTCTCTTCCCCTTTCTGTATCTCAGATTTCCCCATCTGTACAAGGGACAATGCCACTTCCCTCTTTTGTAAAATAATTAACAACTATGGATGGAAAAAAGGCAATTAAAAAGCTGTGTGTTGTTAGGACTTGGACTCTGCTTTACATTGTGGAAAGGTTTTCATTTCTTCGCTTTCTGCATGAGTGTTTTTGTTGTGTTACAGACTGAAAAATGGAATAAGAAAAGGGAGAGGGGGAGTTTTGGAAAAGATAGCACCAAGGCCAGGAAATATGTATGGCAAAGCAGAAATTAGGGCAAAGGGTATTTTGTTTTGATGCATATTAATGTAGATTTAAAAGCAATTAATTGAAAAAGAAGGAATTAACACGTTTGAAATGCCTTTTTAATGATGCATTGAAGCCAGCAGTGTACATGCCAAATTTCACACTGGCTGCCTGTTCCAGAGCCCAATTTACAATGAACTCCTGGAAGACAGGCTGTGGGATGGAAAGGCTCTTGGCTAGCCTGCTAACTCCTGCCCTGGCCTCAGGCTGGCAGGGCACTGAGGACAGCCGAAAGGCCTTTCGGGAGTCCTGCTTCCTCCTCGCCGCGCTGGCTGGGGCCTTGGCACTGCTGGTCCCTGGTCCCTGCTCCGTCCCTTGCTGAATGTTCCAGGGGAAAAGAGCAGGACGCAGGGGGCTCCAGCAGCAGGGTTTGCCCTGGTACAGGGCAGAGGGAGAGTGCCACAGCTCCCAGCACAGATAGCTGGGCTGGCTGGTAAATCACCAGTCGCGTTTCTGCTCCGTGGCTTTGTTATGGGAACATTGATCTGTTGCTGGGATTAACCTCTCAGAGTTTCCAGTGGGTTGGTCTCGCAGTTATTAATGAAACTGGCTGGAACTTGTGTTGACCTTGGCAAAGGCCCCAGTTGGCTTGGAGGTAACTGGCAAAAGCATAATCTCTAATTGAGTAATCCAGGGCTGGGGGAGGGGAGCAGAGGGGGTGGACACGCAGCAGCGCTTTGAACTGGGAGAGCTCGGCGCTCCAGCGGGATGCGTGGGAGTGGAGGGCTCAGAACGGCGCTGAGCACAGCGGCCGCCGAGGGAATTAGCAAGCAAAAGCGAGGCGGCATCTCGGATCCGGCACCCCAGGCTCCCTCTTG